TTTCCTTGAAAACATTTTTCCAGAACTTTTCCAGGACATTTTCCGTCCCTCCAGCCTTGATTCTGATGTTTGAATTTTCTGTACAGACACTTGATGTCACGTCACCTGTACGAGTGGCTGTGATTGTTGAATCTGACCTACAGTGTCACAGCTCTTACTTTGATAATAATACTAATTTGAGATTTTTGAGCTTATGTTTTTATTTTCAGTTTAAAGTGTGTCATATTTGGTTCCACACTGTCCCACATTTCACTGATTAGGACCTGGCAGTTCTAACCCCCAGGACGCTAATCACAAACACAGTGACAGTCCCACATATGGTCTGGATGGAGATGATCATCAGAAAGGAGACTATGGTTGACCCAGCAGAATGTTCTGGAGAAGTTCTGTCTACAGCCTTCAGATCTACTGTAACTGTGAACAGGCTTTTTAACGGTAGCCAACATGTAATTTAATAGTATTTCCTGGTATGAACCAAAAAGTACAACAACAAAAACTGCAGAAGAGGTGACGTTCTAGTTCTATCAGGATCAATTCAACATCCAACTTCCTGTAACACTTTCCTATTTTCAATAATACAGTGGAGTGCAGTCAAGAATCTGAGAGCTAACAACAACTAAAAAAAAACAAAAACAAAAATTAACATACAAAATACTTTACAAAAATAAATTAAATCAATCTGCTTTTTTCAGTAGGGTGAGATGCGACTTCTGACGCCTCTGGTCAGTTTTAGTTAATGTACAAGTCAGTAGAGACGGGAAAGAGAGTAAGGTCAGATGTTTACAGAGAAATGGAAAAGTAAAGGCAAGACAAAAAAAGCAAGAAATACAGCAGGATTTTGGGGTGAAATGCAGTACAAATGAGTGTTAAACACATACTCTCTACTCACATACTCCTTCTGTGTGGTATTTGTTAAAAGGTTAAAGGGTAAAATCTTAATCTTAAACCTTATCTGATAAACAGATCTACAAACACTCTTGTAGTGAAACATAAGAAAACGAACCACGCTCCATGCTGCATCCCTTCACTTCCGTTTGCTCTTTGTGTCCGTGGTCTGGAAGACGCTGGAGGCCGACATCAGGTTCTCGATGTACTGGCCCAGAACCTGGTTCTCTGACTTTAGTTTCAGGTTCTCTTCCTTCACTGCATCAACTCTCGCCGACAGGTCTAGAAAAAAGGTTACAGAGAGAATTTGACTTTTCTTGGCAACGGCACTAACCACTGTCCTACCGCATCATCTGCCAGTGATGTCTTGTACCCAAAAACAATTAAACAGTAGTGAAAAGATGCAGCAGCTTTACACAGCTGCTTAAAAAAACAGCCTTCAGCACAGACCAGAGAACAAGTAGTAGTAATATGTACAGTAGTAACATGTAGTAACAACCAGAGACCTGCAAAACCTGGTGTTTATTCAAATGTGACCATATCAACACAATGATTTGAAGATCAAACTGGTCCAAGATGTTGGAGACCAGTCCGAACTGGTTTAAGTCGTTAGCATCAGACACCTGCAGCAATGAGATCATCTGTCTGTGGACCTTTTGACCGACCCCATGTATGAGATATGTGGTTCACAGTGAAGTGAACCCAGGTGAGTGTGTGTTTACCTTCCAGTGTGTGCTGCAGCTCCAGAACCTGGTTTATTAACCTGGTCTTCTCCTCCATCTCCACCTGGTTCTCCATGTCTCCTGTGTTTAAAACATGTTCACTTAGCTTTGCTGCATCACCACGACGCACATTTGAAACACATGAAATTTCAGTCCAAGCACAGGTAAGTGAACGCACCATCTATGTCGCAGTTCATGATGGAAAGCTGGTTTTCCTGTTTGGTATACAGGACTGCAGATGGACCGTCTGAAAGAAGACAGACAAACAGTGTGAGCTCCAGCTGAAGACCACACAGCACCCATGTTTAGACATCACTGATGTTTTTATTTCACTGTGATAAAAAACAAACATCACTGCTTGGTCAAAATCCACTAAACAGCCGTGATTGTTAATGTATTCAAACCTGTTTCAAACATGTCCGACTGACCTTTCTGTCACACGCTCAATATTGACAGAAACTCAATAATGTTTTGACTGCATTTGTAGACAACATGTATGTGTGTTTGTGTATGTACTATTCTGATCATTATTGGCTGAACACACGTCTATGATAACTTGAAGGAACTTGTGTATGAACTCTGAACAAAATGCAGAGAATTATGGACACCGTGTTTGTGTTTATGAGACAACATGTATTGACAACACAGGGCATGGAAAAATGAGGGACTGAACTTCATCAACTCATTTAGTTCCTACAGTTGAATACTTTCCAGGGCAGCTGGAACCACTCCATGAATTGGACGGGGTGTGCTTTACACCCAGAGAAGTCCACCCGTTCACTACAGGACCAGAGAGAAAACAACCAAGGCATGTTTTTGATTGTGGAAAGACCTATAATATCTGGACACGACCCTCAGACAAACAGGAAGAACTGAAAAACCGGGAATCAAACCATCAAACCTGTGGCCTTGATTCTTGGTCATGCAGAAGACATTAGTTGATAGATTATGCAGCACTTGAGAATCAATAAAAAAAAAAATCATCAGAGCTGAAGTTATATTATTGATTTCTATCACAACACTCTAATGTAAATGAACTCCATGATTCAGGAGTCTCCCACTATCCCAGAAACAGGAGGTCCACATGTGGTAATACCAGGCTGGATACAGGTGTGTTTGGCTGAAACCAGGCCACTGCTAATACATCAACACTGTCATTCTTCTGCTTCCCTGCTTGCTTATGTGGATATTTAATTACATCAGATGATTTAGATATGATGTGATTGACCAGAGTCTAACAGAGGCAGCAGCCAATCAAAACACATCAACAACACATACAAAGATCTACAGCCAATCCATCACTACTTAAACTAAGTGATTCGTCTAAATATTACAATTTTAGAGCTGCTCAAAATTCCTAGCCGCGCCCCAGTCTGATAGCAGTTGGATCCTCATTTCTCCAAGTTCGTGATGCGTTCGATAAACACACAGACAACACTCCGCCTGTACCGCACACAGTCACTGTCATAGTCAAAGACCGTAACATACATTTTGGAATATCCGGGGAGGCTATGTGCTAACCATGTATAAACCAAACTTTGCACACAAAAAACGGGTTTAAATTAATCGATTTAAAAGCTAAATACGCGTTGTAGTGTCCGATAATGGGTGCTGTGGCAGCTAGCAACAACGTACTGACTCGAGAAGCAGAAATCAACGTTGAGATTCACCGGCAGTTATTTTTAAAATACAAATAAGAAAAGCGGGCAGTTTAAATGTCATTTCATGAGTACATTTCGAACAAATAAATCATTCTCTGGTCGTCAACCGGTGAGCTCAGCTAAATGCTAACGGTCTGCTAGCGTTGTAAACCGGGTAGAATAACACATAACGGTTGTAAAACGTATATTCTCTGTGTTAAAGGAAACACAGCAGCAACAACACAAGAACGTAGAAATATTGTTAGACTCACCTAGAGCAAGAACCGACCGTGTAAAGACTGGGGAGTGTGTGATGCTGATGTTAGCTTTACTCTACCGTCGATGTCGTCACCACGTCTACCGACTGCCACTTTACTTCACTTCCCGGGAGAGGGCGCCCTTGTTCGATTGTACACTTAATGGGTGTGAAAACTTTTACACCAAATAAAATTCAACAAGCATCTTGACCATGTCAATTGGGGATATAGTGGAGAGTATAACGTTTCAAGTACTACGTCTTTATGCAAGTACCAGGGAGAGATGTTGACAAATAGTTATGCACAGTGAAAGTGAATTATTGTCACTAATGCACACAATGAAATGAATCCTTTGCTTTTAACCCATCACCGTCTGGGGAGCAGTGTGTGAGGACGGGTCCATACTCAGTACACCTGTTCCTGATGCCTGGTGAATTTGAACCTGCAACCTTATAACACACGAGTCCCTTGCACTGATGCAGGTGTAGAGGACAGAGAGCAGGCAGCATATTAAGAGTTGCATGGACGTGGATTACAGTGTATTTTTTGTGTATTCCTACCACAGATCAAACACATGAAGGATTATGTTAATTTTCTACTGTTATTTGAAAATATGCATCAATATGAAGGTGACTGTCCATGCTGAAAGACATGCTGTCAGATTCTTAACTTTGGTAAAAGTCCTAAATCACTCAGGATCCCACTACAATTCTTCAGCTTGGTGCAACACCAGCGGTAGCGGAACACATCAGCTACAGCTGGAAGCCACACCTCCAACCAGTCTCAGGATGACAAAAACCGAGTGAGTACACGGTGTTGTGTTTGCCTTTCTTTTTTTTTTCTTTAAGCACAAACTGAAATTATTTTACATACTGTCACTGGAAATACAGAAAACAGGACGTACAGAAAATAAACTGAAATGTTGGGTTTCATAAATTTAGATTTGTTTGACCGATAAAGGTAGAATAGTCCATATATTCTTAATTTCAGATCAAGTTGTGCATAATAGGCCTTCACAGTTGAATCTTCTACAGTAAAGAGGGTGAACCCAAACACACGAGGCCTATAGTTATACCAAGAAGTAGAAGAAGAAGAAGAAAAAGAAGGAGGAGGAGGAGGAAGGTAGTTGTCTGAGATTTGACCTGTGTCGTCAGCCAGAGAAATGTTAGTGAACGTCCCATCCTCCTCGTCCACTGCCGTCTCCATTACCTCGTCCTCTTCTTCTGTCTTCATGTCTCTCTTTGTGTTTCAGTTTTCACCTCACACAGTCGTCACTCATTCTTCTTCCCACTGTCCTTCTGGGGCGTTGTTTCTATTTTGCCTCCTTCTCTTGTCACACTTTTGACTCTTCTCGTCTTTTTAGTCCCTCCACCTCACACACACAAACCTGCTTGCTGAATTATTTACATCACTTACCCTACCTGCTCGACCGGACCGGTGACTCAGGTTACCTTGGTGTCATGAGAACGTGTCCAACAATGCGACAACATGGACTGTCCCGACAGGGAAATCTTCAGGGAGTAAAGTACAAACTCCTGCAAGACCACGTGAACGGAGCTCATAAAGATCACACCCTTACCCAGATTACTACAGTGAGCACTACACTGAATAATTAAAAACACACACACAACTGAAGGTAACATGAAACAAACGGAAGGAATAAAAGTGGCAATGGCCCGTACGGGGATCGAACCCGCGACCTTGGCGTTATTAGCACCACGCTCTAACCAACTGAGCTAACCGGCCACGCAGTCCGTCGTTACGCACATTATATAAATTACCACAATTAAGTCAAATGTAGGATTGAATATTATTATATAATCCCTTTTCTCTTCTCGTCATGCTGTGAGATCCCGCGATAACATGGAATTGTGAAGCGTCCGTTAACCAACTGTACGTGATACCACCTAGAGTGTGGTTTTTGGCTGTACTTCCCTAATTCTACCACGCTGTCTTTACAAAGCAGCTTTGATGGGGACACGTACATGAAAAAAAACGAGAGTTAGTTTGTTGTGAAACTGTTTTTTTTTTCTTAACACAAATCCATATGAACGGATCCAGAAAAATGCATTTTTCAACACAAATCCGTGAGCACTTGCCCTTGTGTCACCTAGAGGGCAGTATTTCCCTCTCTCTATTCCAGTCCTCTATGTGCATATGGACAGTCTATCTATCGGTGCGATCAAAACAAACTTGTCAAGTGTCTTTTTGGGGGGACCAAAAAGACACTTGACAAGTTTGTCTTGTTCGATTACATATTTAGCAGTCTACTCCTTTTCTTGTTTTAAAGCACTAGAAGAATCCCACACAGGCTCTTATGGTCAAGTTACAGCGATTCCAGCCAAACTCAGCCTGAGGGCCTGCTTACTGTCACACGGATGCTGTTTATCTCACTGTTGTTTTGGTCACAGACCTACCGTGTGAGTCCATCCTTTTCTGTCTTTACATGTACCCCTGAGTTACCAGAAGCTCTGGCTCTCCCAGAGCATTCCTCTTTCCCGAGGTTGAAGAGAGGAATGTATACATCAAGTGCTATCAGGCCGAGTGAGCCAGAAATCCAAAAAACTGTTTTGTTCATAAGTTATGCAAACACAACTCCTGGGGTGACATCACAACGTCAGAAAATTCACTGCTGAGACTTGCCGGGCTCAGATGTCCCATTGAGAAATGGCCGTATGTCTCTGAACATCAACACATACCCTTGTGTGTGTCATGTGCTCTTTCATGTCCCAGTGTGTGTGTGTGTGTGTGTGTGTGTGTGTGCGTGTGCCTCCTCCTCCACAGTGATATCTGACTGTGAAGATGTGATCTTTTCATAGACCAGATATAACAGCAGCAGGACACAGTCAGGCGGTCTCAAAGTGTGGTGTGGAAATAGATCAATACAATTATTAAAAATAAAGAGATGCAACAAGCGTAAAAAATGTTGACACATTTATGACAAAGTTATGACCAGTTTTCAAGATTTGGAGATTTTCCTGAATGAGCTCTAATGTTGAGGACCCGCGGAGGAGCCGGTTCATGTTTCGAACGGCATTGAAACTTTGGATGTTGGGTGTGGAACGTGTTACCATGAATCTTGAGCCCACTTTCATCTAAACATCATAAATAGTTTGTTTAACGTAGAGTCAAACAACCAGGACCTCTTTCTGGATTCTTCTCAGCTTGTGGTCGCTTCACAACTATAAATTTGTCTATGATGCAGGTAAAAGAAAAAGGTAAAAAAATCTAAACTTAATATTTGCTGTTAGTACACTATGAAAAGTACTATAAACATACAGTTTTTTAAAGATGAAAATAAGTCATTATTGCCACAGTGGTATCGTCTCATACTGTGGCTGTTGTGGTGACTTCTGGAGCTGAGTTCAGTCAGAGATCATGGTCTGAAGCTCTTGGTTCACTAGTGTGAGAAGCATGTGATTTTGATAGGATAAAAGTTTGTTTCCTGATGTTTTGCCCTCAAAGGTGAAAACTAATCAAATGACTAAAGTCCACACTATTCTGCCGCCAGTGTCTGCTGTAAGCTCCAAATAAAACCCAACAGTTGCCATGTGGTTTCAATCAACAAACGACCAGACCCTGTGTCTTTGAATGCATCGCTGCAGACCGCTGGAATGTAACCTGTTCCATGACAATGCTGGTTTGTTACACGAGCGAGATCTTGCAAAAAAGTCTGCAGTCCACACGCAGCGGTCTCTGCTGTGATTGAACACAGCTGCGGCGTCACACTGCAGTCGGAGCAAACACACCAAATAAAATGTAATTTGAAACCAACCTCTTCTATGGTCAAGGTTGAGTATTCTCCTGCCCCAAAATCACAGTGGAGGGGGACGAAAGACTTTTCTTCACCAGGTTCTGTACAACAGGAAATGCATTTTAACCCAATGGTTAAATAATCCCCAGTGATTATTTCGTCGACGTCATTTTTCAAACTGTTCTTTTCCAAGTGTTAATCTGTGGTGAAGGTATTTCAGGGCTTTTATTTTGAAAGGTGCTGAATTCCATTTCCAGCTGCTAGACGTTGATGAGCAGCCGTTGAATAAAAGATCCTTCTAAAACCATGGCCTTTGTTTTTCTTAATGTATGTTCTGAACAACCAAATGGCCTCTCACACCCATCCATCCACTGGAGTCAATCCCAGCAGCCATCTGGTGTCTGCAGCTCCACAGCTGGGGCGGTTCACCTGTTCATCACAGGGCCTCCTGTAGAGACAAGCCAACATCCACGCTCACATTCACACCATCACACCAATAGGGTTGAACGACCAGTCAAACCTATTGTCAATCACCCTGGAAATGAAACATTTTTTCTACGTAGACTTTCCCAGAGATGACTGGTCAGTGTGACGGTGTGGTCACCTGTTTCCATAGGTGAAGAAACAATAACTTCATGTCAGTGGCTCTGCCCTTGTTTGCAGATGGGGAGGGGTTTTCATGGCTTTGTTTTGCTGAGGGGTCATTTATTTGTACTGTTTACTTAAAGGTGAAGAAAACTGACGTAAACACCCCTGCTGTCCACAGTCAGTCTCTACTCTACGGACCACACCTACACACCATTGGACTGGTTGACAGACGTCGTCATGTGTCAGTCCATTTCATTTATTTGGGAATGCAGCTGTTGTGTATTCACTGAGACTTCTGAGACTCCTGTCCCATCACGACCTGTCTATTTTTCCTCTTATCTGACAATTAGAGCAGCAGGACCTGTTGCCCTAGTTCCCTACATGCCTACGTTCATTACTTCCATTGCTACCTGCTTGCAGGCTAGCTTACCTGCATAACTACCTATCTTCCTTACGACCTATGTGCTTATGAACCAATAACTTGGTTGCCCACACCTCTTTGGTAGTGGTAGCACACCTTGGGCGGTTCACCTGCTCACCACAGGGCCAACTTTTCTGTCTCCTTATGAACCTACTCACTTACTGTCCCATGTTTAAGAAGATGAAGAAGTCGTCAATCGTTGGTGTCTTCAAACCTTTTCACCTACCTTCCAACCTGCCTTTTTGCAGTGCTACACATTTAACAACCTCTAAGCTGCCGTCCTGCCTTTACATGATCTAACATTTTGACCTACCACGCCCAACATGCCAACCTCTGTCCTACAGCTTCCTCTAACTGTGACACAAACAACCTCACATTTCACCTTTTCTCCCAACTCCCTTAAGGTACATACCTGCCTAACCTACCCTCTGTGCTGGACTCTAACGCTAACAGATGTCCTCCCTACTTATTTACCAAGCTAACTACCAACATGTCCCTCTGTCCTAGCCTTCTAACATCCTTCCGGGACATTATCTCCTCAGCCATAACACTGTTTTTTTTTTTATTGCACAGACGTGTGAGAAGGAGTCAGTCCACATACAGCCATGGTCACAGATGTGCTCCAAGACTTTGAGCTGTGATGAGTTCTGACTTTTGTGTGCGTGTGGAAACTTGACATCAATTCATCACATTCCATTGTGACGTGTCTGTTGGTGCGGGGAGTCAGGGGCAGGGGGTGGAGTTGGACAACACTGAGGGTAACCTGTGAAACAAGTATTACAAACAAACGTGTCCCAGCACAAAGATGTATTAATAACAATAAAGAATGACGTCTTGCCTGTATTTCAGCTGATGGGACACTTGGACACACACACACACACACGTGATAGCACTGTCTTTAGTGGAAAAGTACTGAAGAAAACAGTCTTCATGTGACTAGCTACCACCAGCCCATTTCATCACTGGCATGTTACATAACGACACACACACACACATACAGTATATGCACGCACAAAGCCACTCGGTGTAAGGTTTCAGTCCGGTGCGGCACTGGCTTTTGAAATTGAAGACCAGTGACAACATGATAATCATGTCAGATATCAGATAATAACCAGCGCCGTCAGTCAAGCCATGTCCAGGCCTGTTGTCACAGCCACCGGTCCCTGGGTGCAGCTTTGGATGCTTTCAAGTTTAACAATGACTTGAAGATTCATGAACACAAACAGAGGCATAAAAATGGAACCGACACGCGAACATTTGAAGCACTTTTTTGTGCTAAAAATTCACGCAGCGGTCATTCGTTGAGGGTGGCGTCACCCCCTGGACACTGCACCAGTCCTATACATGGCCACATATAGACTGCAACTCAAACCGCATTAAGAAAGACCAACACTGTGCTCCTTTGGAACGTCCTGCAGTGCACTGTCAACAGAATTTAAAGTTGTCATGAAACTGTCTCCAGGGGGGTTGGGGAATCAGCACTGAGGAAAAACTGTTCTCCAAAATCTAAACCAAGTCCACCTTACATTGCTGATGTTCCTTTGACAACTACCGCGGGTGAACGGTGAACTTTAACCACGGCAAATAGGTCTGATGAACAGTCTGATATCACTGATCCTAGATGAACAGTCTGATATCACTGATCCTGGATGAACAGTCTGATATCACTGATCCTGGATGAACAGTCTGATATCACTGATCCTGGATGAACAGTCTGATATCACTGATCCTGGATGAACAGTCTGATATCACTGATCCTGGATGAACAGTCTGATATCACTGATCCTGGATGAACAGTCTGATATCACTGATCCTGGATGAACAGTCTGATATCACTGATCCTGGATGAACAGTCTGATATCACTGATCCTGGATGAACAGTCTGATATCACTGATCCTGGATGAACAGTCTGATATCACTGATCCTGGATGAACAGTCTGATATCACTGATCCTGGATGAACAGTCTGATATCACTGATCCTGGATGAACAGTCTGATATCACTGATCCTGGATGAACAGTCCGATCTCCATGGAGATTTTCTTTCTTTGGGAGAACAGTTTCTGTCCTGACCTGAGGATAAGGACAACACTTCTCAAATGACCTGTTTGTAACATTTCAGACCAGCTGCTGAGGACGAGACACACTTGGACAGTGAGACCATGACTGGAGCTGGGAGAGTTCAACTACGGTGAGAAATGAATGGGTCACAGATCGAGGACCAAACATTACCAGGGTTTAGGGCAAAAGCCCCCTAGTGTTTATATTTGAGAATGTATATTTTACATGTAGTCACAGGCATGTAAACCATATCTAAAATAACTAGCTAAAAGCCATAAAAATGGCAACACACAGTAGATATTGTTAGAAACATCACTCGACACAAATCTTAAGTTAACATGGATACAGTCTAACACTATCATTAACAACTAAAAATAAATAAAAATAAATTAAAAAATGTCTAAAAAATAAACAAAGTTAGCTAACAAAATTAGAAACCACAAAACCACAAGTATAGTCAACACAGACACAGCAACAGCTAGAAGCTAATAATGTGAGCTCAGCGAGAATTAGCGAGGAAAGCTAACTTTATTATTTCAACTTTATTCAAATTATATTATATTTAATGTTTTAGAAATAAAAATTGTTGAAATCACTACTTGTTTGGGAACTCCATGTAAATGTATAGAACAGTAAAGAAGTGCTACTTTATGCCAAAGCTGCACAGCAGCCAGTGTTGATCTAATTTGGGCCCCACTCTGCCTCTGTACACTCTGGCCATACTGCTCTCCCACCGCTCCCCTCACTCATGAAACAGATGTCGTCTGAGCTCTGGTCACGGAAAAAAAATCAAATGAGCCGAGTTACAGCCCAGCGTTGAAGGATGTTGATTATTTCTGTTAGCTGAATACTAACGTGACACCGTTCACTGTAACATTCTGTCTGACAGCTTCATGGCCGTCGGACCAACATCAACATGGACAGGCACACAACGGCGGCTGAGGCAGATGAAGACCTTGGCCGGGTTATAAATGGATGCTGGAGGGACAGCGGGGATTTATGACGCCTTAGATATTCTAAATTAAAATAAGGATAACTGACATTTATCTGGGTTGGTTCCATCAGAAGCTTGGGATTAAATGGGACATATGGTGGTTGAAGGAGCTTTTTATCTCAGTCAACAATTCCTATCTTCAGATTTTATTTCAATTTGTGTGAACCTACTTAGTGCTCTCAGTATGTAGGTCAAAAGTTCAGATAAATAAAGTCTTAACTCTAGCCTTGGCTGCACCTGCTGCAAAAGAACATCTGAAAGTGTCTTCCAGGTAAACCGTGCACCAATTAGACCAAGGAGCAGCTAGAATTACATTTATTATAATTAGCAACAGGACGCTGTGCTTTGAAAGACAACTCCTACTATGGGGACAGAGTGGTTTCATGGAACTGTTATAAATAAGGGGTAAGGGACTGTGGCAACCCTTGACTTGGTTTTCTTATTTCTGTCATTTCATGGTCATATCTAAAATGACTTGAAACTACTTGTCAAATATTCAGCAAAAACATCTCTCACATCTGGACATCAGCGCACTAGAGATTACTTTATCAAAAAACAAAATCAAACATCACTGCCTGTAAGCAACGACACAGACATGTGATGATATTCAGCTTTTATTCAGACTGACATAAAGTGATTTACAAAGAAGGACCTTGGCAAGAAGCAAGAGAAAAAAAAAAAACAGCCTTCGCAAAAGTGCAATCACACACTGTTAACGATAATAATAATAATTAACATGTACAGTATAGTCGTATAAAATCAAATATATTCTGTATGAGGAAAATATAACAAAAATCTCCAGAACCTACTCTACATTATTGTCCAGTAACGTTGTTGATCACAATCTGTTCACCAAGCTAAAAACACAAGTCAAAAAAATGTAGCTATATATATATATATATATATATATATATATATATGCGCTTTTTCCAGTACAAAGGAAATGATGGTAATTGTATCTGACATTTGCTGGTGTTTTTCTTTTCTAGTAAAATCAGGAAGTGTTCATTTTCTTCACAGTTGATTGTCCTACAGTATAAATACATGGTGGTACAAGAATCACCTTGATGACGGATCACTGTTTGTGCTTAGAAGTGGTACAGGAAGTGCAAACCCTTTACTTTCCAGTCTAGGAAGATGAACTGACCCCCCTGCAAACTAACTCTATATACAAGAGGACTCAAAAAAAAAAAAGAAAAGTCCCTGATGTGAGAGGTTCACACTGATGGACGTAACACTCTCTCATGCTGGAGAGTATGGGGTGAAAGGAGAGAGTAAAACTGAGCAGTGAATGGATGGTTTGCATCTACAAGTATTTCAAATATAGTGGTTGATGACTGCAAATCTGACAGAATCAGCATTGATTCGTCGGACATGTTCACAACTGCCTTTGAGACAGCATCGTCGTCATCATCGTTTTAAATGTCGATGCCTTTAGTTCTACTTTTCCACGTAGTTTGTCCAAGTTACTAGTAGGAAGCAGGCGTATGAACACCTCCAAACCCCATCTCAGGTGGTTCTGATGTTTCAATCCTGGCATGTTCCTTGGAGAACTTTGAACTCACCCATAGAGGGCCTACTTGGTTTGTAGCCAATGACAGAGTAAGCCTTCAATGAAATAAACAGGTGCTGTAGTTCATACCTCCAACACAAGTCAGTATCACGATAACAAGGTCAAGAGGTGAGAAACATTTTTTTTTCCCTGCTTCTTCAGGTTTTTTTTGTTTAATTTACCACCAGTTTAGTTTAATTTAACCAGTGAGACACGTACATCGTTAATCCAGAAAACCACCAAAAAACCACCAAAAAACAACAAAGAAAGAGCAAACAGAACTGATTCAATAAAAATAAGAAAACTTGATAAATGTAACAAATATAACTGCAGGAGTTTCACATTTTAAAAACTGGATATTTTTTAGATTGGATTTATTAGTAAAAAACACTCAAAACCCTGGACTTCATGAATCCAAACCACCAACACAACATACGTCATAAAAAATGTAACACAGTACATGATGTATCCATATTGGTACAAATTACATGTGTAACTCTGTAACTCTCTCTCTATATATGTATGTATATCATATATATACATACTGTATATTCACATATATCCATATATATAGATACATAGATACATATATACTGTATATAGGAGAGGGGACAACCTGAAGTTTGTGAAATTCACTGATTTGGATTCGAGTTAACACTTCACTGTCAGTATCGCCCAACCAATGAACTGAACCCAACAGCTCTATAATCAGTGAATCTGTCAGCCAGTATGGCCACAGCAATTATAACTTTCAATCATGCTACTATACCTTTGGCATTCAACTTTTTTTGCTGCTGGTAAAATGTGTCAAACTGAGGGAGGTGCAGGCACAGAAGCATTATTAGCAGCTAAGTACAGCACAGAGACTTGAGATTTTATGTGATCCAATGAGCTCTGTGTAGAGTTCAGTGTGCACTTCACTTTTATCTTTTCCCCTCAACTTCTTTTTATTTATGTGGATAAAAGTACAAAAATAGTTTTATTCTCAAGGAAAGGTAAAAAGGTGCTTCATACCAGTTTTACTGGAAAAGAGGGACAAAAATACATTTGCATGAGCCTATTGCCGCTGGGTGGTATCACATCGGTAACAAAGACACGTGAGTGGGTGTCATTATCATTCCCTGACCTCTGACCTCTGACCTAGGTCTCATCTCCCTGCCTGTGCTTGAGCCTCACTGACTAGATGTCCACCAACACCTTCACAGTCAGCGTGATTCGACTCCAACTAGACGTTGATCTGCACTTTCATGGTTACATGTGAAGAAACATCTCCACTCCTGTTGCATAAATTCATATTTTTCTTACTCTAAATAAAACTAAAGAAGACATTTCTGATTAATGGTAGAATAGAAATTTACTGAGTAGTGTACAAAATTGGCTTAAAAAAATACATTTGACATTTACAGAGTACTCTTTACAATTAATCTATTGTATATGTAACAGTTAATGATTGTTTTTATTTTTAAAAAAAATAGTTTCAACTGTTGTTGATGGTTGGAGTTGTGGAGAAGCTAATCACAGTGTGTGCATTTGTTTATTAGTAAGCACTTGTTTGTCTTCTGTCTGTTGTGACTGTGAGTGAATCCACACTGATGAGGAGGATGAGGAGAGGAGAACCAGGTACAGGAACTGGATCCAGATCTGACAAGAGATCTGAATCTGAGGTCATTCTCTGGATTTAAGCAGGAACTCAATTTATACTCAGTGAAATCTGAGCAAATGTACTTTTTACTATAATCGATTGAATTCCACAATCTAAAATGGGTTTTAGTTGATTTTTTTCTTCTTCCTTCAGGACTGGCTCTTCGCCTCAAAGACTCTTTTATTCCAGCTGTCTGGGTGAATATTAGATAAAGTGAAGCCAAACTCTGTATTTCTGTCACAAATTCACAACAAGACCACATTAAAATCTGTACTAAGAGTTTCCACTGTGCAGATGTTTCCCCTCCTCCTCTTTGGACACTATCCTGGCAGCTAATTAAAGATGGCCACCTCCACGTACCCATCTTTTTTCTCTCTCTCTCTCTCCACACCTCTTAGCAGCTGGTCTCCAGGAGCTGCATGGCCAAAGAGCGCTCGTCCTTCTCAGAGGTGGGCGTCTTTTTGCTGCTGGTAGTGACTGGCTTTAGCCTGGGCTTAATGTTGAACACATCAAACTTGTCAGGCAGCAGGCCCTTGTTGAAGATGATGGAGGTGATCCAGGAGAAGAACAGGATGGACACGAGCGATGTCAGCATGATGGTGGTGCGGAAGGGGAAATACTGGGTCATCTTCCCTTCCATATTCTCTCGAAAGCCGGGGAATTGGATGACGGCCGGCAAACTGACCAGGGGCTCGCCGCTCATGATCCTCATGATGATTCCAATCAGGAAGCCCAGAATGGCTCCATAACTGTTGGAAACCTCGAAGAAGAGGACGCAGACCAGCTGAGGGAACATGATGGTGTATGACATGTCTACACCCACCAGCCAGAAGACCAGGACACTGCTTTCCAGAAAGCAGAGAGCGGTGCCGATTACACCCACGGCCACAACCGAGATACGGATGACCCACTGCATCTCATTGTCAGACGCCTGAGGAGCGTCAGAAAAAAACGAAAATCAAAACACAGGCTAGAAAACCCTACCACAAGCACAGTTCCTGGGATTATTGGTAGGTGTGTCCTTTCACACAGACCCTGTCTATATACGTTAAAGCTCTGTAAAAAGGCCAACAGTCAATACGCTCATTGTATGGGAAATTCCTCAGCAGTGAGCTCATGAAGAAGAACTTTGTTCTGACAGCAAACACCCTTCAAACACAGTTTCAGGGAAATAGAGGCCCTGTTGAACAGACAGCACCAGAGCAGCCCTGAGGTCCTCAGCCTCACCTGCAGTAAAAATGCTCCAGTTGTTCATTGTGATCTTAAAGACCTGGGAATTCTGGGAATGTCATTCAAGGCAAGTGACACCAGACCCACAATCAACACTGGCACACATTTGTTCTGATTTTGCTTTTCTAATTTTATTAGGGTGGGTCGGTCTATTCTGAGGTTCAATTCCAAAAGGCCGTAGAAGCCAAATGATCTCACCTGCTTCCTTATGATGTTCTTGTAGACATTGGAGGAGAACAAGGAGGCCGAGGACAGGAGAGCAGAGTCCATGGAGGACATAACAGCTGCAGCCACAGCTCCGATGCCAATGACAGAGACGTAGGCGGGCGTCAGGTACTGCAGGGCGATGGGGAGGATGGCGCCCGCCTGACTATTGTCGTAGGGAGTACGCAAACCGTAGCTGGTGGAGTTCCAGTCTGTCAGTTTTGAATTGACACAGAAGAGAAAAATGTGAAGAAAAAAAGAGCAATCTGTGCACAAAGTGAATTTAAAATAGAAATGAATTTAGAACACTTTCTCCAACATGAAGGCTTTGCTGTTAAATAAAACATTAAAATGTAACTCTTCTATCTTTGCCAAGGAAAGTCTCTACCTGTAGATGCTGCCACAGCCCCCACTAGAATGGAGGGGATACCAAGCACCAGGCAGAAGACGGCAGAGGCAAAGCAGGTCATTTGAGCTTGGGAGTAGGAGGAGGACGAGAGGATTCTTTGGTAGAATGCCTGGTAGGCCAACCCCCCCAGAGCCTGGCACAAAGAGGATTAGACATGGACCACATTTTATTAGTCCACTGTTGACAAATATTCCCCCTCTTTGACTAATATATCTGGTGTCACTTGGATGTATTTCCTTCAGTCTGAAACTTTCTACCAGACACCATCAAGATGAACAGTAATGACTGAAATACACCAACTGGCCTTTGGCCTTTTGAAAGAATATTCTTCTGTTACTTGTACACTCCACTCACCAGCAGCATGAAGTCATCAAACCATTTGCCAGCTTGGTCCAGCTCTACTGTACCAACCCAGCCGGGCTGGAAGGTGTAGTTGTAGGCAGTTTGTGTGATGGGTAGAGAGTGAGGGTTGGTCATCAGGAAAGGAACACACACCCACTGTATTCACCAACACAAGAAAGCCACATGATATGAATACAGAGAAAATGTTGTCTTCGGCCAGAGCAAAACGTGGAAACTCATCCTAGAGGTTAGATGTATGTTTGTCAGCTATCCTTTTCAGCACATCAACAGGTCTTTTTCTAATTCTAAGCCAAGATTCATTTTATTCTTGGACGATGACAAACCTTACAAAACCACTTGTCATTTCTTAACGAGTTAACAACATTAGCATGGCTTGATTTGAGCAGGTAATTGGATCACATAACATCGATGTCTCTACTCCAACCCCCCGACTCTAGTCTGTACTTGAGTGACTTCTAGGACATACAATCCAATTACGTACAGTCGAACCCTTAACTGTGGCAAAGACATGGACCTTATCAGTTCCCCTGACCTGGAAAACTGGACTTTAACATCGCTCCAGAAATTCAACATGGCTGACAGTTAGACCACAACCCTACAAACTTCAAACTCACCAGGCTGACGAAGATGAAGATGAGCTGGATGACATCAGTGTAGGCCACAGAGTAGAAACCCCCCAGCAGTGTGTAGACGATGGCCACCACTGCTGAGATGAGAATGGAGTAGACATACTCCAGATCCAGGATCACACGCATTGTTCCACCTGGAATAAACGCAGTGCAGAGGTGAGCGTTTGATCAGAGGACAAAATGTGAGTCACAGCATTTCTACTCTAAAGATGTTGACAACAACAGAGACATGCACTGTTTTACTACAGTAACACTGTCATTAAAGGGATAGTACAGGTTATCCAGCCTGAGACATGGACGCTGACTATCACTAAAACATGGCTGTCAGTAAGAAAACAAAAAAAAAACTAACTTTATTCTGATACATCATGGATCATGGAATCACACAAACTAATACGTACATTGACTGCTGGCTCCCACACTAAGACATAAAAACCAGCAGCAGCAGCAGCATAAACAGTGTGTTGTGGTGTAAATTAATTCAGTGATTTGGTCATGGGGTTTAACTAAAAACCTACACAATTGTGAAGCCTTGTACTATTTGGATATTTGGAATAAACAGAACAGACAAAAAAAAAAAACCCAACAACAAACAAATTTACACTGATGAGGAAAATGTTCAGCAGAGACAGTTTATCACCTAAATCTAACGAGGTGTCTGATTAATGGGCTATTTTATAACACCCTTTGTTTTTGTTGTTTACTGATACATCCAGCAAGGTAAGACACTGTAGGATGATTACTGTTAGACCAACTGTGTCTACCCCAAATCTGAAGCAGTGTGGGTGAGTGGTGGGCTGCCTCCACTTCATTTATGTGGTGGAACCATCAGAAATATCAGTTTAGAGAAACTCAGTGTTGTTTTTCTTTGTGGTCCTGCTGGCAGCCATCAGTTCATGTCCCAGGCTGCTTCAGAACATCAGCACTGGCTAGGACTCACAATCCCCCCCCCAAAAAAACCCCAGTAACTATCCCATTTAAGTACAGACTCCATCTCATTCTAATTATTTCCTTACACACGCACGCACACACACACACACACACACACATATGCACCCAGGCTAATTTTAATTACGTATGTGGCCCATTTGACCTAATGATGTTGTTCTTGTCCAATACCATTAAAGAGACACACTTTACCAACAAAGCAAAACCCTACAAATCTGAACTTTAAAGGAGACGTTTGTCCCTGTTCAATACGTGGACCTTTTGTTCAAGATCAACTATCAGCCATAAAACAAACTAGGTGATTCTTTTTGCAAGAATTTTTTTTTTTTTTTTTTAATCAGCACACTTGAAATACGGGCTAAGTGCTCAGCAACATAAACACAGTTGATAATTCCTACCATCCTAAAACTATGAAACACATCAATTGTTGTCATGAGAAATGTAGCAGAACACTCTGTTTCTCCACCTATTAATCAGGTAAAACGATGAAAGAAGAACATTTAATAGGAAAAAGAAATGGAGAGGAAGGTAAAGGAAAGTGTGATCAAAAATGATAGAAAAAAAATCAAACAAAATTAAATTAGAAAACAATTGAATTCAACACAGAATTTACTCAAACAAAGCAAGCAAAACATCACTACCTTCACCGTCTCTTCTGCCACAGTGCCAGGGTCACCCCAGCCGCAGCCTGACGCCACACCACAACAATGCCCTTAAACAGAGAAGTGACAGATGGGCACCATGGCACCCTGTAGACCCCCACCTCCCACCTGCACCACCCTTCACTTTTCTTTACCGTTAACACTGGGTTGATGACACCAACTGTTCTACTTGTCCTCTGATGAGGGTGATTTATTAACCCTGGAAATGTTAAACAAACTGTTGTGTATATGTTGCCCCATGTGGATACTAGGGATGTAAGAAAATATTGATACGCCGATGTATTGCGATATTTAATTGTATGGATTTTTTTAAGTTAAATTTACATGGAAATATTCATGGTGTTGGTTCATTTTGTTTTGCTTTTATTTCTTCTCTAGCGAATACAAATGTAAATCTCTGTGTTTCAATATTAGTAACCTTGTGTTAAGCATGGAACAGCATTGTTGTTTACTATGATGACAGTTCTCTAATTGCTTAAAAAAATTCAATACATCACCGTGCCTGTAGTGTTGCAGTATATCGCAGTATATCGTATTGTTGCCCGTTTATCACGACACATGTCGTATCACCAGATTCTTGCCAATACACACCCCTAGTGGATACCTTGTGTTGTTTGATGGTACACAAGAGTTGCAGATTGTTTCTTATTTTTCTAACTGTTCTTATCTACTGTGCTGAGCTGCTCAGTTTCTGTCGGTGTGTCTAAATTTAGAAAGAGGAAAAGTGAAATGAGAATCTTGGGCCTCCCTAAAGGGATTACTGCCTGGGTAAATACCCCCAGTGTGTTGTTTTTAGCTCCTAATCATAACCAGCGCTCTCCTCTCACAACACGCAGTTGTTTTTAATTTAAGAATGGCTGTGTTGATATCACAGCACATGAGTTTTTAAAGTTCGATCCTTTCTGGTGCTGAAAACGCACACACACACGTTAACAAAACCTCAGCAACAGCCAACCTGTGTCTGTGGTGACTGTGGATTCTTTGTGCAGTGCTACATGTTGGCAGTTGATGTCAAGCACAAAACATGTGACAGAGGGTCTCTCTAAAAATCCAATCTCAGTGTATATCCAATAATTCCCAGTCAATTCACTTTTCATTACTCTAATACACAGTCTACACCCATGTCACTCACACACAGTTGTGTCAGAGCCTAACCCCTGACTAAGATCAGGGCAGTCCATAAGTCTACGACTGATACAACAGTCAGATGGACTCCTCAGGACTGTGGACTGACCAACATTGTTGAGGACAACGACTTGACTGAAGTTTAAAAGTTTCATATTAATAATACCATCTTGTGTTAGTCACACAGATATCTACCTGATGGTATTGATCTGGTCCAGTTATATATGGAAAAAAAAGTTGTTGTCACGTGTTCAATCAGATTTAAGATTTTAACTCGTTGACCAAGTCAGACGTCGCCTCAGTGACTGATCTAATTACCAGTGGAAACACACAATTCTCCTGCCTAAAAAGTGGAAATGACCCCCCCCCCCGCCTCCCCCATAACTGCCACACATGTCCAGACATTTAGAATCAGAGAACAGTCCAACAGTGGTTTTATAATTGATCACCTTCAACAGGCCGATTGATCTCTAACACCTTTTTCAAATTACACTGGAAAAGAAGACAACATTAAAAGAAAACACAAATGAACACATTTCCACACACATTATGTAAATGCACCAACACTCGGCCCACACACACACACACACACACTGCAGAGCATACTCTACATCCACTGCCAATACAAACAGGGAAACATCAGTAAAGACAAGCAGTTGTAAAAACACATACAAGTAAACAAATAAAGTATATGACATGGAGACAGACTACCATGTCCTCAAAGTCACATCAACCCACAACTGTGGTCAGTTGTTTTTAATGATGCCATTGTTTGTGTTCATGAAATCAAGGGTTAGAGTTGGTAGAGATTCTACCCAGGCTTTTCTGCTGCTTATTGTTGAACTGTGTGAATGATAAATATTTACATTTATATGTACTGTTATATGATGTATGCCATAGATCCTACACAGGTTACATAGGAACAACTGAATCTAACTGTGAAGGAGTGTGTGTTTTATTCTTCTAAAGAATAACAATAAAAAAATGAATAAAAATAAATAAACATACCGAGGCTGACAAGTGTGCGCGCCACCCACAGGACGTCGGCCACCAGTGCTGGTAAAATAAGCGCACTGCTCATGACATTTCCATACTTGTGCTGGAAGGGGTCCATCATGGTCATGTATTTGTTTTCTCTCATGGGCTTAGCAAAGAAACAGCCTCCTGAATGAGAAAAACAGAGAGCAGCTCACTGTTAGAGATGGAGATGACAAAGATTAAACTGTGATGAAAACATCAGCTGACCACACAAGTTCACTTTGACAATGACAACAATGGACCATGACTGTTAAAACTCTATTTTTCAACCACTTATCATTAAACATTAGAAAGTCTAAAGGCTCCTGTCACTCTGGAATTTAGACCAACTAAAAATACAAACTTAGTCAAAAGTAACTGTGGTACAGTATTTACCAACTGTATTAGACAGTGGACCGATCATCAATTCATTTATTTTCAACTGAAGCCAAATGAGTATTGACTCATTAGAATATGTATCTACATATATTTATGTAGGCATTCACACTAATTTTCACACCCATGGTTAATTAAGACTATTGCAGTGACCTAATGCTCATCTATAGGTGTTGAACCTCTGAACAAAAGAACAGAATGGGAGCTGCTTAAAGTGGGATTTGATCCCATGACCTCCTAGCTACAGGATATTGTGCAATTTCTCAGGAAGTGACATTTTCACTGGAGGGTGTAGCCAGTTACAGGGCAGTAGTGATGTTAGTCGTGGTAGTGATTTCACACAGTGATAATCTCAGATGGACAGCTCTCTCAGGCAGCAGTCCAAGTCTCTAGGCACCTGTTGCCTCAAAACCACTTCTCTTGGTCCTATTTTTAACCCGAGTGACACTTTAATTGGCAAGAGGAGTCATGTTGGTGGAGGGGGACCTAAGAGCCCAATATCCATAGGGGCTGACTATGCTATAACACACACATTTTATTAGGGTTCCACTGACACTGAGAAAACAATTTATTTGTTTGAAAAGCTACTAAACTAGTGTCCTGTCCTGACATATAAAGATGAGTTCTCTGCTAGTATCAAACAAAGGCACTTTGAATCTTAAGTGATCATGTCCTGTTACAATATTTCTGGTAGAGAGAGGAGGGCAAAGGCTTCGGTGTAAAGAAGATTTAAGACACTTACCAAGGAAGAAGGTCAGTACATATGGGACAGGCATGAGGGCCCACACTGCTCCCAGGGTCGGATTGTATGTTGCCTCTGCAATACCAAGGATGAAGCCTCCACCCACCCATGTAGCTGTCAAGGAGACGCACGATTGTTTATGGACAAACATGACAATGTAAACTTCACAGCAGTACCCACACACACACACATACATATATTTTTATATATACACATATATATGCATTAGGACTGGGCAATCATTACATTTTTATCGCGGTTAATTACATGACTTCCTGAATAAAGTACTCTCCTATTTCCAAAACAAACAGTAAATGCTACTTCTGGCTTAAAATCAGTTCACCAGGTAGCCACATCGCTTTACCAATTTGCTTGTCAGAGGTCCAGCTTGAAGGAACTTGTTTACATAGTAACAGTTGCTAGGATGTATGATTGGAGGCTAGGTTTTGCGAAAGATCAAATTTCTCCTTGCTGGTTTATGCGAGCCCTGCAGCAGTAAGCAACAGACTGTTACAAAATAAAAGCCAGTAAGCATTAGACGTTGACAATAATAAAAAAAAAAGTCAACATGCTATAAAATAATTGTAGTTAACACGATAATAACATATTAAGTTGCTCAGCCCTAAAATATGTTATATACTGTAAAGATATAGGCATATAGACATAGATATAACTAGATATATCTATCTTATAGATATAACTATCTTCATATATATACCTAGCGTCTCAAAGTGCAAAAGAATGGAATATGAATATCTAAGACCAATGTTTATACAGCTTGGTGCATATTTTTACCTGTCAAAGTAAAGATGCCAACTAACAAGTTGATGTTGCGTCCAGCCAGTAGAGTTATCTCCATGCCATCACCCAGGCATTTCTTCTCTGCTTTCCTGGATCGCAGCGATGCCCAGACGCCTGTACCCAGGATCACCAGGTAGAACGCTGCCATCACCACAAGACCCGGCACATTGAGAGCCATCTTGAGCTACTGTCGAGTGTTTTATCTGTTGAGCACACACACACACAAGGATCATGAAACCTATGGTTCCTACATCAAACAGGAAAAATAATAGAACACAAAAACATCATCTGATGACATGGTTGTAATGAATTAACCCTGACCGGTCAGGTCAGAAAAGTACACAGATAAAGCACTGTATATCCACGGAGAATAATTAGGAACTAGAAAAAAACGCACGTTCCTTTAAAAAGAATATAGTCAAATAATAGAGATGGAGGACTGTGTGTGTGTGTGTGTGTGTGTATTTAAGGGAAGATATGGAAGGAATAGGCAAGGGGTTGGGGGAGTTGGCTGTCTTCCAAAGACAACAGAGGCCTTGAGAAGCTCAATCATATGTATTTATGTATATATGTACAGTATGTATGTGAGTGAGTGTTTGTTCCAACAATTGTAGCCCTTACAAAGCGGACATACCAGAATTCCATCAGTAGTGTCGTAAACACTGAGGACAAGTCATGACCAGGGCCCAGTTCAGTCATACTGGAAAAAAATGACTTTAAAAACCAGAAAAAAAGTCGAGATGAACAAAAGAGTATGCTGAGCTATGATAAGCTAAGATGAGCTAATTTGTTGTTATTTAGACGTTTTTCACAGTCGTCGGTTCAAACGTTTTGTTGTAAATCACTGCTTAAGTTGGAACTGTTTCTTTACAATGTATTATAGACTGCCTGGACCCAGCCAATGGTAACATGAATCATAGCTAAGAAAAGAAAAAACATATATAGATTAGATGTCTGGGCAAATGATCAAAAGAACTGATCTAAACATTCAGTTGTTAGGCTACACCATGATACTGTTTATGTGTCAATTAACAGTCAACAACCTACCCTGAGAAAATAGCAAGCATTGTACATCAGCTGCTCGTTAGTGGTTTCTAAAACTGTTTTTCTTCTCACTGTTTTTCTTCTCCTGTGGTGTTTGTACCTGTGATGTTGCATTAGAGCCTGATGTAAGGTGTTTCTTCTACAATAATGAGTAGTACTTTTAGATGTTTCTTTTTAGAAGTTGTGAACTTGTTCTTTCTACGTATCTGCTGGCTGGTGTGTTGGTTAATGTTTGGTGGATGACACTGGTTAGTAGACACGTTGTCCTTTCATCTGTCAACCTTTTATCTTTTTTCATTGGTCTACGCAACGTTGCCAGACATACTGTAATTATACTATTATAATATAATAATTGAATATTTAGTACAAAATATACAACAGTGAATGAATCCAAATCAATCAATCATGTGGCCCTTTCATCCATGGCCCCTCTGTTACTATTGTACTAATCAAGGCAATTAGAACAACGGACGTCTACGGAACCCACACATTCATGCTTTTCTTTTTAGGGGTAGGGTTCTTTGATAGGCACAGTCGATGTTAGTGTATGATTGATGCAAATAGCCCACTTTAAGTTGGTAATTGGTCAATAATTTCCACATGACGGTGGAAGTCCTTTATTTGGACGTTAGTCATGAGGGTGGCTGGAATGCTGACCAACCTGCTGGTATTTTGTGCTTGCTTGTAAAATGTAAAAGAATGTTGGAGAATTGAGGAGGGCTTCATTCTTGACACGATGAGGTGGAGTTATGCAGTTAAGTGGCATACTACTGGTTAGCTGATTTTCTTGAATCCGCATGCTTGACTGAGCAGTTTAATGTAGCTTCTGAATCGGGTTTTCACACTTATCCCTACATTACTCTCGATCCTGTTGATAATCCCTGCATTGTGTTATTATAGGGTGAGAAGAACAACGAGATGTACCGTTCTGACTTGTCAGCTGAGAAAAGATATGTTCCACCCAAGAAACCACCTGCATGATCTGTAGCCTCAGTAGGACACAGCAGCTACAGTACTGCACTGAAACCATAATTTTCGGACTATGAGTCGCAATTTTTTCCACACGCTTTGAATTCTGCGGCATTAACAATGATGCGGCTAATTTATGGACTACGGGCTAGCAAAGTTCATACCGCTAGCAATCAATGACTTTTCTGGTAGGCTACTGTGTGTTATACTAGTAGCATATGTCTGTCTGTGAATGGCTGTATGCGTATATGTGCGCAAAAGTTGACAGCAGTTTGAGTCCTGTCATGTTAAAGCGTGAGTTGGTTTTACAGGAGCTGTTCAACCGCTGTTAAAATGTTCTGTAGTGGTCGATTTGGCTGATAATAAAGACCCCAACTTCACTGTTTCTGTTTACCTCTGCTGTGGACAAACACAAAGTGAAGGGAGTTAGCCGCAGAGCTAAAGCACTTGTTTGCAGTATTTATTTGTACTGCTCACTGGATGCCTGGACTCATGGGCCAATCAGAAAAACATTTGACTAAAAGGATGTCAAGTTAATATTTAACTAATTTATGCTGAGGGCAAGTTCTAGCCAGGCAACAATTTCTGGGTGCAGTAGAGCAGAACCATACTGTCAACAAAAGCTAATGGTTTGTTGTCCAAAGACAAGGTGGGATCTGATGATTGGGCCAAAATAATTACCAGGGAGTAACACGTGTATGTAGTTAAGGGGCTGTCTCATCACTTCTGATATTATGTTGTTCTGGCACAAAGACAAATAAGGACTCAAGAGTCAGTCAGTAAAAGCTCTCCTCTGAGAGACAAATAACTGGTTGCTTTTCCAAGTTTGTACCACTGGCATAGAACAGAGCGAAATCATTTACCTTTAAGGCTATGGCTTAGCTCCAGACGGGTGTGTCACTGCCTGTGGACCAAAAGAAGCGCTGACATTTGTTACAGGTGTGGTGCCTGTTACTAGATAAAGACATTAAAAATCAAAATACAAGTCTGGTCATTTTAAGGAAATCTAGTCATTTCCTAAAAATGTTTGCTAACCTGTCAATACTAATCTTTCATTTTGTTGTAGGATAATTATTAAGACAGATGTAAGTAGGTCTGATGATTAATTGACTACTTCAAGTATTTAACATAACTCTGCTTCAACACCTTTTGCAAGAATTTAAATTGCAGTGCAGGCTGCCAAGATATCCTCCCAGTATACAAAAACAAACAACACTGTGCTTCTAAATATGGTCATAACAAAAACAGTCAAGTAACACTAAAACTCACTTACCTTGAATTCTTAAATAAACTCAAGGTACCTGTCTTTCAGGTGTTCAAAATGATTTACAACGGCTGATTTCGAACAGCTGCAAACAAGTGTCTAACGCTCACTGCTACATATCGAGAACCTTTTCACCTTTCTTCCAGAAAACTCGACATGTCTGCTTTCTAAGACACAGACAACGCTGCTTCAGTCTGATGGTGTCTCCAGCAGTAGAATGTACCTTCTGAGGGTCAAGTCAAGTCTATGTTATTTGGATAGTCCAGATTTACAATATTGTATGTTTTCTGAACGACACAATCACGTGTATCATTAAAGCCAATCACTGGCGAAACTTGGCAACTAAAAATGAGACATGTCTTGATATTCGGTACTACCGAAGCATTTCAGTTGGAGCCATAAAAGAACCGATGTTTGGTACACAGCCCTACTTATTAATAACCGTAATAATCAGTTCATAATTGATATTCTGAATTAAAGAATTAAGAAGTGGAAAGTAGAGGCTGATTGTGTGACCCATACTACACTGGTACAGAGCAAGTGATACTTCTGACATTTGATACCTGCGGCTTCTTTAGGTACAGATCAAAGATATGTTCCTTTTACTATGCTAAGAAAAAGGTCCCCTCTCATGAGAAGTATTCACTTAAATACCAATTAAACAAATACTGCCAATTATTTTGTCTAGTTTTCAGAGAATGATGTCTGTTGTGAAAGGTGGTTGAAAATATTTAGTTACAAATAAATTGAGAAGTGTTGAGGGAGACAAGACCCTTTTTTCTCTTTCCTTTAAATGTTAAAAAAAAGTTCTTCCCCTTCCCTAGACACACTTAAGTGCTGTGAGGTGTAAAAGTAACTGTACGTGTGTGTACGCGCATGTGCACACGTGTGCAATGGTGTTGGGGGTGTGGGGTTTCCAATGACCTCTGACACAAAGAAAGCTGTCACTATAATAGCAGCTTTTTTTCCTGCCTACGTCACTTCTGAGCTTCCTACTCAGCACTTGGTAATTTTCCATAAGTGTCTGAGTTGAAGTGCAGTCAGAAACACAAAGTACAATTACCAACACAGGAGGAGGATTAGCCTTTTGACTAGCAAATACATGACACTGACGTCAGTGTTACTTATTCATTGACTTTGAAACCACCAAAGATTTGTAATACAATGCATCTGTGTACACAAGTGCCAACAGTTGTCATTTAAAAGTAACACAAAGTCAAAGCAACCAGATTCCACGTTTACTAAACCACAAACCAACACAACACTACACTCACAAATGGAGAAATTGATAATTGCACATTATTATAATATTATTATTCAAGTTCAACTGAAGAGCCAATTTGCAGAGAGAGTAAAACCCGAGACAAAATCTGTGTTGGGGAGTGGTGAGGGGTTAAAGCTAACATTCTGCTGCTTTTAAAAGTAAAACGCCACATATTTGCATTAGAGATTATCCAGCGTAAACAATTTTAGTTTGCTCCAAGTGTTGTTCTTTTTGGACTGTTGTTTTGTCAACTTGTGTTTTTGCTCAAGTGTGTGTGTCATGATGGACCTCTGATGGACCTCTGTGTGACAATTATTCTCATACAGGTGCAAATATGGGACACGCGTACAACTATACTCTTTCCATGAATTCCTCTCATTTCTCCTTCTCCCCCTCCTCCCCACACCTTCCCCTCTCTCTCTCATTCACACACACACACCCTTCATGCTAGTACTTTTCCGTTTAAAACCACCTCCTGTACACACGCGTCTCTTCCCCATCTCCACCCCTGCAGTTTAGTGACAGAGAGCATCTTAAGCTGATTAGGGGTTACAGATGGACGTACAGTATTAGCTGTAGAGATTCAGAGATGGGAAATACCACAGCATGGAAGAGAAAACAGAGGTCATAAAAAAAGAATCACCGACAACTGCTGGATAAGAAGAAACTCTCATTGAGTCGAAGCATTTACTGGCAAAACATGTAGAACAAAAGCTCATATATCATTTAATTCCAATAGATAAAACAAACAAACAAAAAGCCTGATATACAAATTGTCTTCTTATATTTACATTTCTTTTATTTTCTTATACAGCACTTTGACTTCGGATTCGACTAATTTTACTAGCAGCTGTTTTTTGTCTGTTTAAAAAACATTTTATGTGGTATAGAGAAGCAAATAAACCAAAACGTTTCTAATTGTTACGAAAATTCATAACAGGGATTATTACCAAGCCCGTTTGCAGTATTTTATGTCTTTGACAACAGACATTTACCTTTGTGAAAGAGCAGCGGAGGAACGAACTAATATCTGACAAACCCAAAAATGAAATACTGTTAAATAATAAGTTTCACGCAAACTATTTAAATTTAACATTTATGTTAACAATAAATGCTGCTACTACACGGATAATCAATACAATCAAATTATAATTGTCTAATTGTATTATTGGAGGAGTATTTGTCAATGTTCAGACTAGGTTTAAATGAACAACACAAAGTAAAGCAGGGAAAGTTAGCGGCACACCACACAGGTTGGTAGATCTCAAAGAGTTCTAGGAGAACACACTGCCCTCTGCTGCCCTTCTAAGGAGGGAAGTCTTGATTCTTATTTAATATAAATAATTTGTTTCATGATTTTATTCCTCCTGCTGCTAAGCTGCCTGTTTTGTCCAGACGATTCTGCACCACTTCAGCCCTTCCATATTTACAGAGGAGGGTGTTGGTGGTGACAAGGAAGAGGATTAACGGTCAATTAATCACATTTAAATTTAGAATTTAGATTTAACATTAAATATTGAATTTTTAATTATTTAGTCTATTGCCAAGTTAACAAATACTGTTGTAAATATGCTAAAAAGTGATTTTCAAAAATGTATAGCACTTTTTTCAAACTTTGTTTGAAGTTAAGGGTAAAAAAAAACATAAAACCTTTGGGCTGATTTCCTAAAAATGAGAAACACATTTACACCAAACACAGGCAAAATATATGTATTTTTCTGTAAACCTTAACATTTATATCCATGCACAAAAATCAAAACAACCCATCTAACACACCTGGAACTGGGACAGTACTTTGTGGGGAACGGTACTTACCGTAAGGTTGTTGGTTTCTACAGTTGATAAGCGGTGAAGTAAAGCAGCGCGACGGTCTGGTGATGACGAGATTCAATCAGTTTTTTTTTATAAATAAAGGATGTAACATGTCACGTAAACCACTGAAGGTGTCTTAGAACACAAATAACAGAAATGTGTAACTAAAAAGACTGTGTTTCTTAAGCGTTTTTAACGCATCACCGCAAACGTGATGATGAGTAGAGGCAGAGTGGACAGAAGTCTCTAGAAACCACAGTCTCTCCTTCCCCTTCTTTACAGCAACACGTGGTGGGAGGGGTCAGAGTGGACACAGTGAGAAGGGGAAGAAGTTACCCCTGCTACCTGATTGGTTCTGCTCCTCCTGTCAACGACAGCCAATTAGCTGAGCCACAGCGGGGCCCCTGTTTTAGCTCTGAGGAGATTACTTCTGGGTGGGCGTGGTCGCCCCAGTACGCACATAGACCCCTGGTAAATACGTCACCACTGTAAAGATTATTCTTCAGTTGTTATTCTACTTATGTTCTTTTACTTCTGTAGTTCTTAACTTCAGGACGTGAAGCATATGTAAATATTTAATAACACGTCATTCAGTCATCAGACCAAATACCATTTAGCATTTAAGAGCAGTGAAATATCTACAAAAAACCTCATGCCTACTTAAAAAAATCTAAACCCTCCATCCTTGTGGACCGCAGTCTATGTTTATCTGCCCACTACCTCCAGATGTAAATCCAAAAATGCCAGTTCCGCAAGATATGAACAGTGGATGTTAGTGGATTAGTAGGTAATTATTGTTGCCGTGTGTGGTGTTGTTGATTGCAACCTCAATAATGATATATTATTATATTACAATTATAGCATTGTTAACCATTGTTATTCTGAATTAAATTCCTATGATAGTATTGTATGTATACTTCTGTGATGAAGTAAAGTGTTGTTGACTGCCGTAGCTCTCCAGATACCCTACCTGTTTCTTAGACCTATAGACCATTGCCTATGAGCAAATTGATTTGCAATAGATAGATCGTTTGCTAATCCAGCTCCAGTCTTTTCACCTCCGCTGGAATGTTGTGGACAAGAAGTCTACATGAGAAAAACCTTGCTAAAGCAAGGTGTTTCCACTCAGGCTAATTGTTGGACAGCCCTTCTGTCTCTTTAAGAACAGTCTTCCTCTGCTCTCCAATAATGCCCCGGGAATTCCACCGTTTTATTGCATTTTTTTTTAACGTTTTTTTTAATCACATACTCTGTCGTCAGAAAGTCTTTTCTCCCGCCACACTACAACTTCACTGACGTGATCCTCTGCCCCCTCCTGCCTCTCACCTACCTGCTGTCTTTCACAGCTCAGGTGGCAGGTACCACCAGGACCCTCACAAGGACACATGAGTGTAAGAAAAACATCTTTGAGCAGTTTTTTTTTTCTGTCTCTCTCACTCCTCTGCACTGTGGACTCACGTGTGAGTGAAGTTGCACACAAGTGACTCCTTGCCCAGCACGTCCACAAGGCTTCACTTGTAGTATTCAATAAAACACACTGAGCGAGTCAAACCGAAAATAAAGGAGGCTACAGAGAGGAAACAGATTTTTTTCAGGTTTATCCTTTATAAACACAGACACAGATACGTACTTCCTTTGCATATAAGAGTATTTTATTCAGGTGGGTATACTCACCATACCTGAGGCTATGAAGAGGTCTTTTACTTTTCCAAATGAAGCTAAAAGGCAAACACACACACACAAACAACCTCAGGGGTAAACATTCTGGTGATGAAAGACAATACTTGTGATTGGTCATTTTTTCTTCTAGCTGCATTAAGCTCATTCTCACCGTCAGTTATTACTGGCTGTACCCACCAATCAGAGATCTCAGTTAGGGGCTGGAGATGGGGTCCACTCTAATGTTTAAGAACAGTATCTGATAAAAAGGAAAAAAAGACAAAACATTGGGTTATCTATTATATGTTGCTAAGATAACCTTGATGTTCCTTTTGTATTTCTAACTACAAATTAACCGTTCTGGATGGTTGACAAAACAATTGTTTGTCCGTGCAAACCACTTTGTGATCCTGTGTGATGGAATTTATGACAGGTAAGACCTGGTCTGAGCTTCACTGGGAAGAGAAAATGAATGGCCGTAGGTTGGGTTCAGTCAGTTCAGGCCAACAACCAAAGAAAGTTCCAGAGCAACACACAGTAAGAACGTTCCAAATGTGACGGTGTTTCTCTTGGTTCAGTGGCCTCTCAGATACCTGTCCATTAGTTTAATTTGCTGAGGAAGTCATGTGGCTGTGTCCAAAGAACACACCCATTATGGCATACGTTCCACAGATGCCAGCACAGAGTGTTTGTACTGTTTGTAACCGTGTGTTTTCTGTTTACTGCAGCTCAGCGTATCATCCGTGCCAAGTGTTGTGATCTGATCCATCTTGGCTGGAACTCGAGGGTTGAGCTGATGGGTAATGACTTCATGTGTCATCCCAATACACCATGAAAAATGTTCTTTGGACTGTTTACATGGCAGGGCATGATGGGTAGAAATGAATTCATCCCTGGTGTTTCTGAGGGGTTAACCATGTGACTAAATGTACAATATCCTCACAAACATGTTGTTGTGTTCTAGCCCCAAGTACCACGAGTCCAAGAACATCGTCACAGAACAGAACACTCACAGTGCAACGGGAAGAGTTTGGAGTGATCACCAAAAAGACTGGAAAACACACATATGCATAATGTATTCATAATGTTGGATGTGTCTATATTTGGCTAACTGGTTGGCTAAACGGTAGCTACTTTTAGGCTAACCTACAAGACAGATGGATAAGTAGATGTGACATAAGGTTTAGAGCAGAGCACTCAAACTCAAATTCAAATTCAAAGGCACAAAAGCAATAATACGTTGTTTTTCTTATTCATATTCGTTTTTATATGTTGAATTTCGAGGATCAAGTTGATTTACTACAATTAATGTCAATATGTAAATACATGGGACAACATGAATTATAATCCAGAAAACAGAAAAGACTGTGGAGTGTTTTAGAGGTGGAATAAAAAAAAACCTCCCTCATGATCAAGTACGTCAGATGGCGTTTCTGAACGTTCTAGTCAAATGGAACCAACATTCATCTTATTTCATTCTTAAATTTCACACTATTTTTGGCCTCAGTCAAAGTCTGGCAGTAACGCTGTACCGATTCCCTGAAGGGGAAAAAAATCAGAACAACTGTCCACGTCAGGATGGTCTGAGGGTGTACAGTAACAAGGCCTTCCCTGTGTTTCGTACCGGTACAGTCTGAACTTCTCACATGTCCGTCAACACATCATTTCCATAGAGCCATTACAACAAAGACACAATGACAGCAGTTATAAACACAATGGACACTTAAGCTTCTTTACAGTTAGTCCAGTTGCTGCTGGCGCAACGTGGAGCACTGTGACACGTTTGTTATGATGATCATAAAACAGCAGATCAGTGATGTCATAATCACATGATCAAGACGTAACCTTTGCTTCTGCTGCAGAGGCTGATGGGATGGATTTCAGTTTTGCTGACTCAAAATAAACTGCAATAAAGATGACATTTTTTGTCTTACTGGCTAACTGTGGTTTGTCAGGTTACTGTGCATTGACTACAGGTGTCAATGCAGCAGGATATAACCCCACCCTCCTAGAACTGGCCCTAGATCCCGTGCATTGACTACAGGTGTCAATGCAGCCTCCTAGAACTGGCCCTAGATCCTCCCACCACTCTTAAAAATATGGAAGAGATGGAAAAGAAGGAGGTATCTGATTCAACTCTATTGGTCAGAAAAACAAACAAAGATGCTCTTGTTTTGTATCTGTGCTGGGCCTTCTGTCCAACTGCGCTACAGGGTCTCAGGCTGGTAGATCTATGTAGATCAGCCCGTGTTTCCATATGAAATGTTTTATTGCTGTAAAGCTCTGCTCACCTTCTATGAAAGTTTAACTTTATTCATAAATATTTTTAACCTTATTTAAAAAAAAGTTTATTGGTATGTTGGTATGTAATAATAATTAAAGATATTTTAATTAAAATAGAAATATGTGTATACAATCCTATGCTAACTCATAATAATAATAATAATAATAACAGTAATAATTTTAAAGACAAGTTTAAAGAAAAGAGAATACGGAGGATTTGGTTGGATCTAAAGCCAAACACTGATTCTCTATGAGCTGAACCTTCAACCAGTTCTTTTCCACATTTCAGCAACAGACACAACATTATTGAATTCTTGAAACCAATTAACTTTTGTAAGATAGAGTGACAAAAATCAAGGTTACATCTTAAAAACATAAGATATTTACTCCCTCACACGCACTATCAGCTACCGTCTGTCAGCAGCTTTGGACTTGGTGAACTCGTGATGCCTTTTTGCATGGATCACACCAAACACTGGGATGAAAGCATATTTTCACGACCATCAACATTTGTTTGCTACAGCGTGACTGTGTGTGTGACTAAGACGGACATCACTGTCTCTTTTTACTACAGTACAAACTGGTCTGCAGACACCGAGCTGCTGAAGGTGAGAGAGGGAAACAAAATGTTTCTCATGTCACATTTACAGCTGCTGGACGCGGTCACATGCTCCAGGCTAACGTTTCCAGGAACCTGCTCCCTGTTACTGTTGAAGAGTTTGGTGGTACTAAACTGTTTCTGTCTCTGTGTGTCTGTGTCACTTCAAGGACACGGTGTTTGCATTCAATGCACGTTGATTATCAGCATTGTCAGTGACCTTGTTCACAGCTGATCAGCAGAGCGGTGCACACAGTCAGTCACACTTATCAGTTAGCACTGATGTGGTGCATCCTGGTACACTGTGTCCCTGGGTTAACCACAGATGAAGGTAACAGTAATCTCCCACTTGGACACAAGTGGAAAAAATCGCAATATCTGTGCTCTATGGTGTGTATACAGTATATATATGGTACATATATATTTATATATACCGTAGAGATAACCTGGTATACTTTACACTTTAGTATGTAGAATTAGAGGATCAGACATTCTTGGTAATACAGTTGCTCCTGCATGAGTAGTATAAAAAACAGCAAGAGTCTTATTGCATAGCAAAAGAAATGGAGGGATTTTTTTTTTAAAAAAAATCACAAAACCCACAAGTTTAATAGGTTTATAACTACAAGTTTGATATCAGTGTAAATGTACACTTTTACTGTGATGAGGGGGACATCAGGCGTTACAGAGGGTGAGGCTCTGGGCAGGAATGACTTCATGTGGGTCAACTAGGGGGAATGACTTTTTTCCTGAAGCGTGGACTGGATGTGACCCACTGTCAAAGACGAACCAGAGCTTTGACAGCCTTCTCCTCCCCGACACTAACATCACAGTCTGATCTGAAGCCGATGATGACGTCAGAGCACGGCCTCTGTATAATGTTTACGGAAACAAAAATCAAGTCTTATTTCCATATCAGATGCGTGTCGTCTTGAAAAGCAACAACACACACACACATTTTGAGATGGTTGTCCCTTCACCCCAACTGCTCTCTGATTAATAACCTGAGCCTCTGCCAGTTGGACTGCAGTGTCGGTGCCCAGAGCTCAATACAATGTCCACATGTCATCATCAGAGATTCATTTCAACCAAGAGTAAAAAAAAGAAAACGCAGCAGCAGTTTGTTTCGTCTCCTGTCGTCCTCCACTCATAACAGTCTAAAATGGAGGACTGCACCTCGTCCTCTCCACGGACAGACTACATTTCTGAGCAATACTCAAGGTTTCTGTAGATATGATGGCGTTAACGCCACTGAGTCGTGTGTCTCTGTTTTAAAAAAACAGATAAAAGTGTTTGTTTATCATGGTCACATGATGACAATCACACTGAGTAAATTAACTTAAGGTGTGACATGAAGAGCGCCTCCGGGTGGTGGAGGTTCACGATTTCTGAGCAATACTCAAGGTTTCTGTAGATATGATGGTCGTCAGGTACTGAGCCCGGAGGCTAAAGCCGTGGCCAGTGGCCGAGCGGCCTCAACACAAAGACACATCTGTGTCAGGAATTCTGGTTTAAATTTATGACAGCGGCTGCTCCGTAAAGTCTTCCTCTACCAAAATAGACCGACCCACATCTTGTGTCTGTGGCCTTTTTAGGCTCTCTGTACAATCACGTCTGTGTGTCACAAGGGCACAGAGACGACCCCACCCTGATGAAAGGTCACCTCTGACCCAATCATAATGATCAAAGAAATTGATAAGGATTGTTGTATCTGAATAAATCCTGGCAGTAAACAGGAGGGTGGTCGGGGGTGGGGGTGAGGGTGGGGGTCCACCTCTACATCCAGGTCAGCCCAGTCATTACAGTGAATCACTCCTATTTAAAAATCAGAGGCTCAACATTGGCACAGGGCCATCTGTTGGAGATTATCTGGTTGCCGAGGCTTGTGTTACACTAATGTTGGAGCAAATTTAGCTGCAGCTGGGGGCTGGTGGGGGAGAGGGAGGAGAGACGATGATTACATAACCCCAACAGGGTGATGGAATTTACATATCCACCTGGAAATCCACTTTTTTCTACTGTAACCCATTATTTCTGGAATAAATAACGGTTGATGGTCCACAGAATTTGAAAAAAAACTATTTGAAAACTTAAACCTGCCGTGAAGTGGGACGTCTGTTTGAAACTGTTCTCGAGTAAATGTTTCTTGTTATCCACAGGTATCAAACCTAAGGGCCTCGGACCGCAGCTGGGCGTAACATCAACAGCTCTTCTTCTTTGATGTTGGTTTGAATGTGGGTTTATACAGAGTGGATTTTTAATGAGTACATTATACACTAGGTAGTTTAACTATTAATATTGAAGAAGGGCAGTGGTGCCTTAGTGGTTAAAGAAGCGGACTTGGGTCCAGAAGGTTTCAGGTCTGAGTGTTTGTTACTTTTGACACTGCTGATTGGCTAGGTCTTCTGTTGTACTTGGTCTTCCAGAACCTGGACTCCATTCTTCCTCTTGCTCCTGGCCCCGCCTCCATGTCCTGCACCACAAAAACAGAAATAAAACAAACAAGGAAAAACTTCCTCCGTTTCATTAACTTATCTTTTATTGAGCAGAAACTCCTGCTTGAATACGTGTTGATACGTGATGATCACAGCTTCCTCTCTGGTGCAGAATCAGGTGTTTGATTATCAGTACTACTACTATGAAACAGGATTTACCAGTTCAAGATGTTTGACTTTGGACCCCGAGACATTTCACTGTGTCATTACAACAACAAAAATCAAAGTAGACAGCGAATAAAACAATTTTCTAAAACATAATTTTCTTAAATCCAACGAATCATTTAATAATTAAAGATGCTGTTTTTGATGCCACCTACAGTGTAAGAGACTGGGTTATGAGGGTTATGACCTATTCTGCAGAATGGGCTCCAGGAGAACACTGGTCCTCTGGTTGTTGTCACGTCCTGGTTCCTCTTTGAGATCCCGTGGAACAACGTTTCCCGGTTGTTTCCGAACATCCCATCTTTCCGGCAGCAGGCGGAGGTCGAACAGCAGCACAGCCAGCGCAGATGTTATCAGGATGGTGGTCAGGGTGAAGAGCATGGAGAAGGTGCGCACCGCAAATGTTTGGACGTGGACTCCATCTTCCAGTGTGCCCCCAGGGAGGTGAAGAACGACAGGAAGGCCTAAGGCTTTGTCTCCCAGTAAAACTCTCATGAGCAGCCCCGCGACGTAGCCCACCGCGGCTCCGTAGATGTTAGTCACTTTGAAGAAGAGCACGGAGACCAGTTGAGGGAAGATCAAGGTGTAGGAAAGGTCTGCACCGAGGAGCCAGAGGAACAGGACACTGTTAGACAGGAAGGTGATGGACGTCCCCAGCACGCCCACAACCACGACGGTGATACGAATCACCCACTTGATTTCATTCTCTGAGGCCTAGAGACAGAAGTGACACAAGACAAGACATGTTAACGTATCAGACAGATGTTGGTGTCCTTTATGGTCACAGTCTGTCTCCCAGGAATTGAACCATTGGTTTAAACCACACAGTGAGACCTGAGCAAGGCATTAAAATTGAATAACTTTTTCAAATATTTTTTTTCTTTTCAGCTTCAGCTAACTAATAATTCTAATTAATGGTTCTTTTTTTCAGTTTTGGCTTTGTTTCCTTTTATTGAGTTCACCTAACTAATAATTCTAATTAATGGTTCTGTTTTTCAGTTTTGGCTTTATTTCCTTTTATTTCATTGTGTAACTGGCAGCTCTTCCGTTAGTCTACTTCCGAAGGTCATTTTACACATTTTCAAAAACAGATTCAAGACATTTTGTCTTTGTTGTGTTCTTCATATACAGTAGTAAAAATACACAACTGTTAGTGAGCCCATATTTAGGATCCAGACCTGACCTGTGGGCGCAGCATGTTTTTGTAGATGTTTAAGGAAAACACGGAGGTCGACGACAACAGCGCTGAGTCGGTGGACGACATGACGGCTGCGGCCACTGCTCCAATTCCAATGACTGAGATGAAGGACGGCGTGAGGTACTGCAGGGTCAGTGGGAGGACCATGGTCTGGTCACCGCGTTCACACGGAGAAGGAGAGCCGTAGAGTGTCTGGTTCCAGTCTGGACAAAAGACACAGGATTAGAACTCAGTTCAGATCGAGGAATTCTTCCACAGTAGAAATGCAGGCACACTCCAAGCTGTGAACAAGTGAGGAAAATAATTTTTCATCCTCATCATTTTAATCCAGTAAATGTCTTCTTGTCACGTGCCACCAAAGGAAGAACACCAGTAAACATTACTGGAACTTAGCAACAATAAATCACTGTTCTTTTTTCACAGCAATAAAACCCCCTTGGAAAACATTAGGAAGTATTACTGCAGTAAGTTTGAAGCAACTGCTTTTTATTGTTCTCAGAATTGACACATTTTATAATGTGATACATGAGAAAAAAATCTTTGATTAGTTACTGTTCTCCTGCCGAAATGTCGCCTGTGTATCTGGTGCTGTTAATACATTGTCTCATGTATCAGTATGTTGTTAATACCCAGCATCTTGCAGTTTTTACAGCAGCTCTGCATTTGCTGAGGTGCATTACTGACAACTAGTGGGCCGGTAGTGTACTGTAGGTCCACTCATTACGACAGAACTGTCCCTGCTGATGAGCACGGTGAAGAATAGAATAGAATAAAACTAATTCAGAATTTATTCTGCACAGGTTTTGATGTGTATTTTGTGTGACTTGTTCTTATTTGACATGATTCCAGGTTCCTTTTTTTCTGTTCTAATCGAATGTATTTACGTGTCTGTTCTTCCCACCTGTGGAGACGGCAACAGCTCCAACCAGGACTGGAGGAATTCCCAGTATGGCTATCATACAGGCAGCTGCAAAGCACGTTAACTGGGCTGTTCTTGATGAGGAGGCAGACAGCGTCCTCTGGTGGAAGCACTGAAATGACAGGCTGCCTAGACCCTGGGGAAAAGAAGTCAAGGAGTCAAAAAGGAACTGTAAAGAATCAAACCCTGCGATGCTTACGGTCAGTGCTAACATTACCAGCATCAAAAAGTCGTCGATCCACCTCCAGACCATGTCCTTCTCCAGAGAACCAAGCCACGGCTCCTGGAAGGTGTGGTTGAAGGCTGTGTGGACGATGTTCAGAGATGAGGAGTTGAGCAGAAGGAAGGGGACGCACAGCCACTGAAATGACACCACACTGACGTTGACAAATCAAGACAATATTAGCTGATTGCTAAGCTAGTAGCTTAATGTTTAACGCAGACTCACCAAACTGACAAAAATGAGAGTCAGCTGGATGACATCAGTGTAGGCCACAGAGTAAAGACCTCCGAGCAGCGTGTAGACGATGGCCACAGCTGCTGAGATCCACACAGAGTAGACGAAGGGCAGATCCAGGATCACACTCATGGTTACTCCTGTTACACAAACCCATTACAAACACAGTATTAGTATGTCAATGTGCTGTGTTCAATCACCAATACGTCAACATAAAATACTTTTAACAACTTCACTGTATATGTTACGTTTCTTCTGTTACAGTATGTAGCGTAATATCAAAAATAATGTTTTTTATCGTCACATGTGATGTTACCCAAGCTGAGCAGCGTGCAGGAAACCCACAGCACGTCCACCATCAGAGCGGGCAGCACCAGGGCACCACTCATGACTTTACCGTACTTTATCTGGAAAGGGTCCAACATGGTGATGTACCTCTGCTCCCTCATGGGCTTTGCAAAGAAAAGACCACCTTGAAGTGGAAAAAAGACATTTTTGAATGTTTTCACAATGATAACCTTTGACCTACAGTACAGTATGTGGACCAGAAGTGGCATACACTGGCAGGGTAATTAATGTGTATCCTGAATCAGAGCAAGACGTTTTGTTCGTGTGAAATGGACCATAGGTGTGAATGTGAGAATGAATGGTTGTTAGTTCAACTGCATGGAGAACCACCTGAAAAGTGAAGTTTTTCATTTGCAACTGCTATAATTTGGACTTCTTTCATTCTTTCAGATTCTACCATTTCAACAGCTTCACATCGTTTTAGGACTCTGTGACGAACCTGGAGAAAACCCATGAACAGACCTGTGATCTTCAGGACACTAACCATTTTAAAACAGCACAGACTGAGCAGAGAAGGTCTACGGTACAGTTCAGTCATCTGACCCAGACCACTCAGCCCCATTATCTGGGCAGATTTATTCAAACGGAAGCAAGAGTTCAGTATAAAAACCACTCTTCACCATGGACTTCAATCGACTTTATATTAAAAAATAATTATCACTGATTTGTACACTGTGACAGCTGGACACTGTGACAGCTGGACACTGTGACAGCTGGACACTGTGACAGGTAGGACTGTACTGTATACAACAGTCAGGTTTTACTCCACATGTAGTATTTGTTTCAGAGTATTGCTGTCAAGTGAAAAACAACAGAGTGTACTCCTCACCTATTATAAAAGACACAGAATACTGCAGTGGCATCAGAGCCCAGACCAGGCCCATCTTTGGAGTGTACACTGCTTCAGCCAGACCCAGGATGAAGCCCCCTCCAACCCAGGTAGCTGCGGAGAAATAGAAAATGTCAGTGACCATGTTGATATTTACACACACCAGTACCAGGTGGGTCAGTCAGTCTACCACTGACCAGCTGACTGACACTACAGTCAGGTGGATTCATATTGTTGAGGGATGGCACAAAATGATTCACCCCCCCCACCCCCTCCCCACCCCACTGAAGAGAGGGTAACGGACTGTGACTGGCCGAGCTCTTCTTGCTGCCTGTTGCTCTGTAACTGCTTCATCCTGCAGGATAAAAATTAATGAATTATGTTACTCTGCACCCAAAGAACGTTATGTTACATGAGGACACAACAACTATAGTAAAAACACTGGTAGTTGTGTATTAAACTATAAAGTCCAAAGTGACCAGGTTTATTACATGTGTATTGCATGCACTACAGGAGCGAGGAGGCTGTCACACAACCGAGGGTAAAAAAAAGGTCACCAGAGATGTGCTCATCTGACCAGGAGCCTCCAGAACAGCTGAGGGTTCATCGCTGTACAGCAAGACAACTGGAGAATGGAGTTTGCCTTTTTTTTGCCCATGTGTGTGTGTGTGTATGTAAAGGGGGAGCGGGGGAGTACTCTGGGTACTCGGGTTTCCTCCCACTGCCCCAAAACATGCCCAGTAGGGGATTAAGTACACTCTAAATTTACCATAAGTTCAAATGTTGTCTATGTGGCCCTGCTATTGACCTACCAACAGTCCACACTGAACCCCACGCTGGCCTGGAGATGGCTGAAAGTGACTCCAGCGTGAAATCACTGAAAGTAACGTACAGAGAGCTACATGCTGTTTGTTGGACAGGTGTGTTGGTTCCTGCTTTGTCATGTGATGACGTCATTGGGAGACTTATTGACACAACTTCTACTTTATTGTTGGATGAGTCTACAGGAAAAATTGTGTTGTGTTGTGGTATGTATAACCGCCCCGTGCCTTCAACTGCCCCCCGGGACAAGTGAGGTTTTATGCATAGAGTGCCTTCAACTGCCCCCCGGGACAAGTGAAATTTTCTGCATAGAAAAGTGACCCATATCTTAGTTATTGCCAAAGACATCTGTTTACTTATTTTCAAATGTATAACAAGTCACAGACAGAGAAAAACACGAGCGAAGGGAAGACAGTTTGGTTCGTTCTGTTCTCCACTCCTCCACACTCCTCTCCTACTCACCGGTCATGGTGAATATCCCAATCAGCAGGCTAATATTCCGGTCTCCGAGGAGCGCCACTTCAGTCTTGTCTCCTGTCCTCGTCCTCTCAGCCTTCTTGGCCTTCTTGGCAGCCCACATGCCTGTCCCCAGAATAAGAAGGTAGAACACCATCACTGCCACCACACCAGCGATGTTGAGAGCCATGGTAGCGGAGCTGCTTTTGTGGAACACACGTGCACCACTGTTCTCTTCAGGGAGGCTGGGTGGGTTAATATTTACGCTGTGAGATTGTGAACAGGCAAAGGTCAGAGTGAAAACATAATTAATCCACAGTCATAGAACAGTTAGATGCCTCATCCCTTAGACAAAAACTATGTTGTCTATGAAAAAAAACATGTTATAAAATGACTGAAGATAAACACTCAGGGGAACGGGGTTGTGGAATAAAATGTTGGAGAATGTTTCTACATAACTTAAAAGTCCTAATGTCCACTCCCACTGGAGTCGGTCTAAAGGCAGACCCTGAGACATATTTGCCAAGTCAAAGGTGGCGGAGATGCTAAAACGTAAGACGACACTTTGCTGCTTTGTTCAGTTGGCACCTGCTCTCGTATATCTGTTTACTTTGTTACTTTAACTCAGTATTAATGAGCTTCAATTAAATATATTTAGGCCAAAATGCAATACTGCAGCAATTTAAATAAACATCCTGACTTCATTAAAGATGAAGATGGGCAAATATGTTAATGTGTATGTAACCGGTGTAGCTTTATTGATCTGACGGAATTTACATAGAACAAAATTAATTTTTCTTCTGGACACCAGTCGAGTCCCTACAAAGTACACGTAAAATAAATATACTGTACAGATTTAAATAAAATGTTGAAAACAAGGAGCAGCAGAAAAACACTAACCTCTCACACAAAGTCCGAAGAAAGAGGGAGAGGAGAGACTGGGTGTACGTCAGGTTTCCGCCCAGGGAGGAACAACCCACTTCTGTCAGGTAGAACAAATAAAACAATTTTGTGGAATTATAACTACATAACTATTAACCTCCGTTACATTCACCCCCCATCCCCCAGAATTACACAAAATTCCAGACAACATAAACAAAAACACAAAAACTGGCCTAAAACATGACAGAATATACATGTACAGTCAGCCATAAGCTCCTACAAAAGGATAAGAGATTCTGACACTTCATCTTCTAGACAAAATGAAGTGCCTTATACACTTGTATAAACAGGCCAAACATGTGTTACATGACTGGGGTAAAAATGAGGGTTATGTAGCACATCCCATCAACTGGAAGATACACAAAAAATCAAAAATTATAAATATATAGAGCTCAGGTGTGTCAATTAACCCCACATATGATTATCAACACTACACTTTACACAGTAATAACATCATTAGAATGTTGATCAAGCCCTAACAATGTTTCAAGCTGTGTCATGGACTCAGTAAGAGGACACACCGGCCTAATAACTAGGCAAGACTTGTGGTTGGTCTAGAACGCTAATGGGAGCAACTGAAAGGTGCGAACCTCGTGGTCTCAGGAACAGTGCAGTTGTACACAAAAGTCATGGACGGGATCTTCTGTGGCCATTTCTGCTTGGACCGGGGAGGCAGAGATCTCAGCATGTTGCAGGAACTGGAACTGGAAGACTGTATAGATTAGGGGTTCCCAACCCCCGGTCCATGGACCAGTACTGGTCCATTGGTCATTTGGTAGCAGGCTGCAGTGGGACACAGTGAAAAAATGTACTTAATTACTTATTTACATCATTCAAAGAAAATCCAGTCATATCCATTTACTTTCTTTAAAGATAAAATAATAGGTCATTCAGACTATGTTTTATTTTGAAAATTCAATGATCCTTCAGTGCTCAACTACCCGTCTGTAGCACTGGGTGGTACTGGCTGACCAGTCAAAAAAGGTTGTGGACCGCTACTCCATAATAATACACTAAAAAGGTTCTGCAATTGATTATTATAGAATAGAACGCCTTTATTGTCATTATACTTTCAGTAAAACGAAAATGTAGCCGCAGAAGGAGAAGCAGTCTTAGTGCAAAAAAGAGAAAGAAGAAAGCAAGATAAATTATATACAGAAAATAAATATAAAAAGAGATAAAAACTTTTAATTACTTAGCTTAAGAAACTCTGCTGCATTGACTTTACTAAATGCTCCCGTGGCCGCATTTGATCAGTGGTTTAATTCCAAAAGGTTTATCCTTCAAAAGAAACTATTTACCTCCATGTCCCCCAAATCCACAAGAGGGAGACTTTGACCAATCTGGATCAGAATGCAGAAACTTGGTCAGGGAGAGCCGTGTGTGTAACAGCTGACATGGTCACAGTTGGTGATAGTAATGTGCAGTACTATTTCATATGGAACATTACAGTGAACTTCTCCACTGCTTCACTTTTAAGTTGAATGGGCAGTAGGTTCTGACTGTGCTCTTCTTCATTCTTTGACCTCTCAACTCTGTGCTGCATCAGAGGAAAAAAAGAAAAAGAAAATTCAGATAAATCTTTTTTTTTATTTGAAATGATTAAAAAGAAAATTCAGATAAATCTTTTTTTATATCTTTTTTTTATTTGAAATGATTAAAAAACTCGTTGACATGAGGGTGGACGTCAGAGGGAAATATGTTTATTGCATAATTTATGTATAAAGTCTTTGGTTTTACCTCAGAAAAGTCATGCTGGTGTTTTCCCCACTAATAAGATGCATGATGGGAACTCTAACTGAAGAACTTGTTTTTGTGTTTTTAAAGCCCTTTACAGAGACATTCATCATCTCTTACCTGGGGTCTGTTTCCTGAAGCTGGCTCATGAAACGCCGAGTTCAAGTCACAGTTTTGGCTTCCGATAACCGGAGAGGTCCAACTCTGACTTTCTGGTTTCACAAAAGCGGATTACAATTAGCTCTCGAAAGCCTGAGTTGAGTTAAGTCTGAGTAAAATAAAAACAGCATCACAGCCGCAGAAGACAGGGGAAAGGCTTGGTTACAAATTACAGATAGAGGGAATGAGTGAGTATTGATGAGGAACTTATTCATCCTTGTTAAAAATGATCAATATATATCTCTTGCTTTGAACACACCTGACCGTTTTAAATTTCAATTCAGATTTAACTTCACAGGGACAAAAAGGATTCTAAAAGGACTCTAAAAGGCAAATTAAGACCAAATACAAAAATACCGCTCAAACAGGGAAGAATGACTTCTGCCCCCTATTGGAGATAATAGATCAGTGTGACCATCTTCCCAGACGTTAGTTGCCTCTTCACTTGTCTGAATAATTCTGCAATGGTCTGTGGACTATTAGGAAAATGACATTCAAATGACACACAGCAGTTTTCTGTATGAAATTATAATTTAACTACTGCCAACTACTGATTTAAATACTGATTGTATTTATTCATAAGGCACTTGCCCAGATCGGCACACCGTTGGCTCGAATACATCTTCAGCATCACCGTTGCTATAAAGCAAACTACCGACTACGGTGAGTTTGGCCTAACACTAACAAAAAACTTTCGGGGAGTGGTAAAATATCTAGTCGTGGTCTCAGGATTTTGTCTTGGCATCAATTTCTTCTGACCAACTGAGCTGTGATGTCCGCTCTCCTCAACAAACGACCAGAGTGGTGATATGGTTTCAGACTGACTCCTTAACTCAGACTTAAGGAGCTTAGAACTGCTACGCAGCAGGTTTGCTCCACGGTGTATGTGGTCAGCTTCGTAAAAACCGTAAAAACCGGAAAGTCAGAGTACACACACAAACAGGCGTCTGTACACTCTCTCACACATACACACACACACACAGTAGCTATTAACAATTGATCAGAGGATTTTTTTTCTCACACACACACACACACATACAGTAGCTATTAACAATTGATCAGAGAATTTTTTTTCTAATTTCCTTGTGGCTCAATGACAGAACTCCCAGGCAGCAACATAAAAATATTAACATTTTCCTCTTGTAATAATGAAGAATATAGTGGTTCTACAACTAACTAATCGGTGTGGATCTTTTTGGATTGTGAAAAAAACTAAAACAACAAAGGAACCACAGCCCACATACAACGTAGCCAAATGCATGTGAACGTTACAGTGTAATGTGTTTAGAGCTGGTTCCAAAAGCACGCTGTGACCTGTGTGATGGGTGACTCTGGAACATCAGCGTCATCAAACACTCAGTGGCCTCTTTGAACAGTGTCCACGGTCTGCTCAGGCCCCAGGATTCACTTCAGCAGTGTGAGCAGGACGTCTTTGACCAAGATGCCGGCGACGAGAATGCCGATCATAATCAACAACATAAAGCCACGCCGTAAGACCAGCTGCTGTACTGAGAGAACACCTCCCACTGTAGTAGTGTTATTATGGGTTGGCCCACCCTCCTCCTCCTCTACCTCCTCATGTGACTGAACCTCCTCTGACTTGGTACAGCTGGATTCTGTAGAACTGACCTGGGACTCGTTGTGATTCAGATCTAGAAAGACAAGAATGCACATTTAGACTCACTCCTTCATGTTCTACAGGCTTCCTGCTTCGAGGGTGACGACTGTGGACCCTCTGCTTCTATCTGTCTCTGTCTTCAGCCTCTTGTACTGTTCCCTCAGCCATCTTCATGTCCTTCTTCACTCCAAGCCTGGACCTTTCTGGAGTCTTCTTCCTTTACCAGTCTGGCAGCTTCATCTCCAAAGTTTTTTCTTCGACACATCCATGATTTCTCATCTTGATTCTTCTTTAACTCCAATCAATTATTTTATCCTGCACTGCCGCCATGCTCACATGAAACAGAGCGGACTGGTCGGCACAGGAAATGCAGGAAAAGGAGATCATGGAGAGTTCATAGAAGTTCATGAAGTCGAGTCCATCACCCACTGCCAGGTTGAATATTCTCATGGCCAAAGTACGTTCAGGTTGAACACAACACACACTGTTGTTACGAGCAGATCACGTTAGGTTTAAAGGGACTGCAAACCATATATTACTGCATTTGGTTTTGGAGTTTTGGTTTTTACCAAATTAGAACTCATCTGTGATCATGATGGGTATGACGGAGACTCCGGACTTAACTTTAATAAACTTTACGTAAATATGTCCCATCTGTCTCATTATGTCTCTATGACTCGTTGCTGCTTCAGCATCTTCATATACTGTATATCCTACACTGCCCCCATCTGTGCAGTACCATGGTCTCTGTCTTGGTATATCTTTGTGCAGTACCATGGTCTCTGTCTTGGTATGATATCTTTCCATTTTTTTCAGTGCTGCAGTGTTTACCTGAACGTTTCCTCCTGGTCTGTTTTTCTTCTTTCAGCTGCACACCGGCTCTTACACGAGCCTTAGGTTGAACAGAAAAAAGAAGAGTCTCAGAATTTAACAGAGAGCAGAGAGAAGTGTGTAAACAACTTACTAAATTATTAACATAAATTATTTTCTGCTACTCTGAAGTAACCACGACACCAAACAAGTATTAGGATTTGTTGACAGTTTAGACCTAATGACCTCTGACCCTTAACATTAAACAGGGTGAGGAGTGTGTAGTGTCATTCTCTAAGGAAATTCAAGAATACAAATGGTGAACAGGGATGCACATCAATCACAGGGAAACACAAGGACAAGAGGAGCAGGGGGACACAGGAGACAGGAGGGTAACAGTGGACACACAGGACACCAGACATTAAAGCAAAAATAAATAAGACAGAAATATCATGATAGTAAAGCTCATATAAATCAATCACACAGAGCTCGCACTCCAAACCATGAGTTTTCTAAAATAACGTCTCAGACACTGTGGAGTGAATTAGAGAGTGTACAGTCACATTGATGAGTCCAGGGTTTCAGCACATACCTCTTCTGAAGCCTTATTCCAGTCCAGCTTACACAGAAATGTGACGAAGAAAATGGCCTGCATTAGCACACAAATGCAGAGCCCAGTCCATAGCCCTGATACAGAAATGATGAAAAATGTTGATGAAATAAAAGTGTTGTTACCTAGAGAATATATATATGTATATATAAATATACATCAGGAAAGAGTTTTTTTCCTCACCTACAATCCCCATCTTTGCTGCAAACATCAGGGAGACGCCTATGGGGAACCCGATGCAGTAATATCCCACCAGGTTACACAGAGCTCCGATCAACTGTTTTCCTGCTCCTCTCAGAGCTCCACCTGCTACTCCCTGTCTACATCAAACACACCTGCTCAGAAACATGACAACTCCAACTTGGCGTCCCACTTGAACTTCGTTCAGCCAGGATAGAAAACATACTCACCGCCACAGCATCAGGAAGATGCATGAATCCAAACACTAACATGACGTCCCCCACTCGCTCTATGATGTCTCTGGAAAGAAAACACAGAAAGAAAGGACGGTGTAGACAACCACAAAGAACATTCTGAGTGTCAGATGGAATCATTCAATAAAACCAATATTTTAAGACTGTTGGGTTTAAAAATACTCACAGTTCTTTAGTGAAAATGTATCCAACCACATGTCGGGCTATAGTGAAACTGAAGCCCACAAAAACTCCGACAGTGACTGAAAAGGGAGAACATTTTCACATTATCATCAAATACTAATAAAACCAGGAACTTAGTTGGAACACCTTAAGGTGGAATTGTTTGGTTGTCGCCTACGCGCCTATCCAACATTCATACTTTGCTGCCCTCTAGCGTCTAAATCTGAAACTGCAGACTACCTTCCTA